AAAACAATTAAGATAGCATCCACTCCAACCATTAGCAATGCTACTAACATTGCTATCATCATTGCAGCTGTCAGCACTGCCCACCAACCACCGCCTATACCTAAAGCAAGAAAACCATAACAAATAAATGAGCACAGTTAAAAGGAAAGTAAAAACAAAGGAACTACTAAAAATGATATGATATAAAACCAAGTAAAAAAGATAAGAACTTCATAAAGTTTAATTAAACCGTCAATGAAATGTCACAATAATTAATCAATTGGTGGAGTTTACTCCTTTGACATCATTTACATTTTAGTACATTAAAGAAGCGGAGCATCAATCTCTATTCACGAATGACCATAGAAAGTAACGACAAACCCTGATATCTGAGGGAACCAATAACCTACATTTATCGGAGATTTAAAAGTATCAGTTTAGAACATACTCCTTTGTCACTTTGTTTGAAACCTTACAGATGCAGTCATGCACTGCTGTTTCAGCCTGTTATCTTTGATGATTTTTTTCATATATATCAAAGAAGGATATTTTGCATTTTAACTTTAATTTTATCCATTGAATGAAATAGGCTGTTATTTGTTTCAATTTACCTAATATTATCGAAATAAAACATTGATTTCCTGACTCGTTCTTAAACAATACAGATTTAGATGTTCTGGTCAGTGAGGTTTAAAACAAAATGCAAAAAAAGTTTAATGTAGCTGTTGTTATTGAAGACGGAAAGTTTTGTCATTTATCAAACCCCGATGATATTGTTTTGTTAGCTGAAAAGGGATCTGAATTGCATAAGGGATTAGGTGTTCTGAGAATAATGTATTCGTCAATGGGGATTAGAATAATCTTGCTCATTTCAAACCATTTTAAAAATGCGTGTACACCATTTATAATTGAAAACACCGTTACTGTTCACTTTTGTTACCTTAGGGGACGACCATTTGATTCCGATGGGGACCTACCATATTGTTGAAGTAAATATTCTTGCCCCTATTAAGTTGGAAATAAAGAATCTTCTATTCGCTCGCCAAATTTTTAAAGGTATACAATAGTTAAAGAAGTATTGTTATGCTATCATATTTTATGTGCAGCAAATACATATATTTTATTACAGATTTCAAGATCTACATGTAGTTTTCAGATAATAGTCTATATCTACAATTAATGCCTTTTGTTAGACAATTGTCGGATAAAACTTCGTTCTAAGACTTGCTTTCAGTTGAAAATGACAAGCATCTTAAGCTCTATGTATGGTGCGAGTTTATGCTCATCGTCAAAGACCATGTAGTCAGTTGTCTGTTAATTTTTAGACTTTATTTTTGGGTTTTCCTTTTCCTTTTTCTTAGTTTCCAAACAGAATAAGGACGAACTTTTTAGAATATTGTCAAGTGGCGGATTCGGAGGTGCGTCCTTTACACCATTTTGATCGAATTTTTTTTGGCATTCTCATGTGCATCTATCTCTCATATCCTTTCATTTTAATAGCGTGTTTCATGAAAAAGTGTTAGTGTAATTTTCTTTTGAATATTGTGTTTTGAATATAAACGGGTCTGTTGGCCTACACTTTCCCGATAATATTACAAGTAGCTACTGTACAAGAGAGGTGGAAGATACCAGAGGGACATTCAAACTCATAAGTCGAAAATAAACTGAAAACGCCATGGCTAAAAAAGAAAAGACCAACAGACAGACAGTAGTACACAAAACACAACATAGAAAATAAAAGACTGAGCAACACGAACCCCACCAAAAACTGGGGGTGGTCTCAGGTGCTCCGAAGGTGTTAGCAGATCTGCTCCACATGTGGCACTCGTCGTGTTGCTCATGTTAGTGCAAATCCGGTAACAAGTCAAATTCGATAGGTCACAAAAGAGGCAAATGATACCAAAGTAGAAAACAACTGACAATGCAATGGCAACAAATGTAAAATGATCAAGATACAAAACTTAACATAGAAAACTAACGAATGAGAACACGAACCCTACTAAGAACCGAGATGATCTCAGGTGCTCTGGAAGGGTAATCGGATCCCGCTTTACATGTGGCACCTGTCTTGTTGCTCATGTAAGTACAAACCCGGAGATAAGTCTAATTTTTTATGTCATATTCGTGGAAAAGAGGATGGGATTGTGGTTTCGACAGTTGGAACATATCCGTCGTCATCTGTAAAACAGAGATTCCATAACGGTTAACCAACTCGTGATGGTGTCCTTTAATTTTCGAAGGGATGATTTGAAGATCAGGAATATGTGTCATTCACATTTGTTCCATCATTTTACAAACAACGTATTTTTATTCGTTTCAGTGTCAGTGATTTTTTTTATCTATCTACCAATATCCCTATACTAAGTACTCCTTTCCGAAAAGATAGAGAAAATTTCTGATAAGGGAACTAGGTACTGCAATGCCATGTGGTTGCAGTGATAACATCAAAGAAGTAGGAAATTTGTCAAGTCCAGCCTGCAGTGATGTTAATGTAATGAATGAGCTTATTTAATACTACCCTACGACACCAACGTAGTCATGGGTAAAAACATTACCATCGGCCTAATGTAAAAAAAGTCTTCCAAATCTAGATCACCCTCTGGGAGCTTTGATAACCTTCTTTCACATCTTTATCATTCGCTAGGGTTACATTACATTAGAACTAATTTTTTTTATTACTGCTTGTTAATTTTCTAAAATGTTTGAGAGATTATGCACTTGACAAAGGATGCATAAATACATTTTCTCCAATACAGACTTGTCAGTATAATTTGTGTATAGCTCTTTTCTTTCTTTTTAAACCAGTAAGATCGGAACCTTTACATGAGGAAAAGAAGAAGTTTCCTGTTCAGTTTACAAATAGAGGAATTGATGCAATCAACATCAGCAACGTTCTACATCATAAGGAGGTAACATCTTATATTCCACTTTATTTTCAAAATCAGTCCTATTGTATCCTACAGTTACAACAAAACCATTGCACCCAAAGTATTTAACTATAAACAAGCATTGCAGGACCTTGATTTTGAACAATACATAGAAAACCCTCTGATACGTGACTGTTCCCACTATCCTTATATTTACAGCCCCTCTGGCCATGTTATTACTGGGGATCTAAACATAATTCAACATGAACATCTCCGAAAGGTGATATCTAGAGAACCCCAACACGTCAATTGGAACCATAACTTCAAAATAATTATGAATTCCATTGAGGACTACGCCAGAGAACGAGAAGAAGTTGAACTGGACACTTTATCAGAATGGGTCATTACAATCAGGTCTCTGATAAAACGTCGCATTCATAAGTTGAATACCTAAGCTTCACAAAACTCTGTACAAACAACGGTACATTGCCGGCTCATCTGCATGTTCGACTAAAAATTGTCCATTAGATTGACAAAAATTCTGTCCTCAGTGAAAGAGGGTCTTCAGAAATACTGTGAAACTGTTTACTCGCGTAGTGGTATTAACAATATGTGGATTCTAAAAAATCTAAAGAACTTCTGGATAATTTTAAATCTCGATCTTTTTCTGAAATTAGTTCTTTCAAAACATTTGATTTTTCAACCCTGTATACCACCATTCTCCATGTGAAATTGAAAAATCGTCTGAAAGAAATAATCCACAATGCGTTTCAACACAAAAATGGTAGCATACGCTATAAATTTATTACTTTGGGATATCATACGGCATATTTTGTTAATAGTGAACAAAAAGGTAAAACATGCTACACAGAGGAACAAGTGATCAGTTTGCTGGATTTTCTTATTGACAACATATTTGTTGAATTTGGAGGTAGACTTTTTCAACAAATTGTCGGCATTCCTATGGGAACGAACTGTGCGCCTCTCCTTGTCGACCTCTTCTTATTTTCATATGAGTCGGAGTTCCTTCAAACACTTGTCAAAAACAAGAAGATCAAAGAAGCCAGGTCATTTAATTTCACATTCAGATATATTGATGATGTTCTTTCCATTAACAATCCAAACTTTTCTGATTGGGTTCCATTAATATATCCCCCAGAACTAGAAATTAAAGAAACAACAGACACGGCTTCCTCCGCCTCATTTTTAGACTTATACCTCGAATTTGACATACACGGTACCAGAATCTATGACAAACGAGACGATTTTAATTTTGAAATTATCAATTTCCCCCACCTTAGTAGCAATAAACCAACTTCACCTACATATGGGATATACATTTCCCAACTTATTCGGTATTCAAGAGCTTACAGCTGCTACTAAAACTTTGTAAAACAACACTAGTGTGTGAGCAGAAAGTTGATGAACTAGGGGTATGTCAAAGAACGTCTTGTCCTTTTTCTAAAAAAAGTTCTTCAGAAGGTACCAAGACCTTGTCGGTAAATTTTTGTATTCTTGTCTTTCATTTTTGCTTATGTGCTTTGCCTATACTAGTATGCCTTTTTGTGTTTATTTGTTACATATTTGTTTGTTTTCATAGTGATTAAGATTATAACACAATGTTGACCGTTGTACCCCAATTTTGACATTTTTACCTATTATGTCTGTTTGTTTTGTTCACACATTGTCAATACAATGGAATTTTATGCGACTGTCATACAAGTGAGAGGTTTCGCTAGCTATAAAACCAGGTTTAATCCACCATTTTCTACATATGAAAATGCCTGTACCAAGTCAGGAATATGACAGTTGTTATGCATTCGTTTGATGTTTTTCGTTTTAAATTTTCCTCGGAGTTCGGTATTTTTGTGATTTTACTTTTTATATTCAACCTTGAAATGTTGAAGATTTGGAATTTTATATGCTTTATCAAAGGATTTAATTATCTGTCATACCATAGACATCAAATATAAGTATATGGTGTTGATCATGATAAATCAGCTAAACGATGAAAAAAAACCCAATAATTTTGAAAGGAAGGCCCCCTGCTCCACACCGTCAGAGAAGCTCTTTTTACACATAAATTCTTCATTGATTTTCCTCCAGTTGAAATGCAATTCGTCAATAATACCCATGACTGAAGCATAAGACAAATATGTTTCTATGTTTTATTCATATTTTAATGTCGGCATTCACATTTACCATCAACGCAGTGTGGCATACCATGACCATGTGGACAATGACCATGACAGTCAGCTTGGGCTGTGCAGCCTGTTAAAACCAAAAAATAGTAGAAGGTAATATGAAGCCTTTATAGTATTTATTAAAAAAGTATTACATTAAAAACTCGTAAAGCTATACATTCGTATAGTTGCTAATATTAACTTCAATGCAATAAATGAGGAAGGTATAATATAAATCTGTTAAGTCACTTAGAGTGAAATCGCTAGTTATGAAATAAAATCCGACACTTAATGCAACTTTTAAGCTTATGTATTATGCATGGTCCGTTGAGAGTTAAGCCAAGACATTTTTTCTCGAATGTACAGATATTTGAGAGTGCTATATTATCTGCATTTTCTTATTGACAATATAGCTCATGTTAATTGCATCGGAGAATGAATACCTTACAGATAACGTTGTAGTGCGATTACAGCTGACACAATAAAAAAAGAAGTCGTCAAATGGTTTTACTTTGATATTCGATAACCAATGTAATTCAGAAATTTTGCCTTGCAACATGCCGTCAACGGACCCTTAAAAAAGTTGTTGCTATGTACTTTCCCGTCAAAGAACGGGGCACTCTCTCTACACGATACATTTGATTTTGCGTCCCACTCCTGATTGCACGTGGTTGCGTAATTTACCTTCCACACAGCCAACGGACGTCTCACGTCGACAAAAGCTTTACTGCCGGTCAGAAGTAGATCAAGGTGACCATATTTCTATGCAGCAGTTTTGTGACGGTTCATGATTTTGTCAAAACGCACGCACATTCTCCAATTAGTTTCTGTTCGTCGTCTTTAAATAATGGAATTAATGGATAAATTTACAGTGACGCCACCCCTTGCTTTTACTCGTATAGCACAGATAGCATTAAAATGTAACAGTGAACTTGCCTACTTGCATTAAAATGTAGTGGTTTTCAATATTTATAAAATTGAGAATGGAAACGGGAATGCGTCAAAGAGACAACAACCCGACCAAAGAGCATTTTCTGCAATAAAAAAAGATTGAACGATACTTGCCATCCCTTATCGATCCTAACTAAAAGTGAAAGTATTCACAAGACTTGACGTCAATTACAAGACATTTCTTCTATTTTGTTCTCTTTCTTCTAATATTTAGTCACAATTCAGTAGTAAGTGTTGGTCTTGAAAACTTACGCGACAGAAGTTAATTTCAATTTTCAATATTTTATTGCAATCATTATATGCTAAAATTCCATCTTGTAATAAGACGACCTAAATAAGAATTATTCAAATTACCTCCGGGTCCACCGCCACCAGTACCACATGTACAAACTCCATGCTGACACTCAACCATGCCTCCAGAGCTGCAAGTTTCCATCGTGCAGTCACTGGCCATATGGCAGTTCTCTGCATACACTGCAGCTAAAAAAGAAAAAAAATCGTCGTATTTGATGGTCTTATAGCACGCTCTTCTTTTGGTTTGTCAACAAAAGCATGCTCTTATTGCAACAATTCATTGGGGTACATGTGCATGACGTACAATTAAACACAATGTCAGTAATATTTTGAAAGACACCGAAGATAAAACTGGACATTAATGTTGGCGTTCCTCGCTAGAAAATTCCATAAATCTTTTAGAAAGTACGTCTTTACGTATTTCTTTTTAATCGTGAAACGGAATTTTTCCTCAAGTCTCGTCCGTTAAGTTTCAACTACTTTTTGTATTTTAAATTATCTATTATCATTATTTTATCACGCCTCATTATTCCGGTTCATTTCTATGTAGTTTATGTTTGATTAAAATTTGATTTAATTCTCCATTATTCTGAATCCTTTGAATTATTCTCACATACTTTTAAAATGACTAACACATTGTTCTTCTAAATGGAAACAGCTTATTTGGTATAATAATAGAATTTAATTAAATGAAAATTAAATTCGTTTATTGAATTAACATATACGTGTACTGAGACTCGACAAATCGAGTCGTCCTTTACTCCTATTGTTATGCGAATTTGAGCATGTGAGAGTTGAGCCGTAAAACTCCGTGCATTTTAGCAGTCACTTATACCTTGAAAACCAAACGGAGAGGACGTTGAAACATTTAGAGAAATATTACGTAAAAAGAAATGCCTAGAATTGGTCGACGAAGGAATAGAAATGGGCGCGCACGAGTGCCCGTAGTTGAAGCTCAACCACCAGAGACGCCGCGGAAGGAGAAACCGTGATGTCGCTGCACCGGCAAATCTAGATTAAGGAATTCAAAACTTTGGGGCAGTTGAAGGTGAGGTCCAAGCTCCTGTTCCTCTACAAATCCAGGCTCCTATGCCATTGACAACCTGCCATGCAATGACCAGCTGCAGCTCTAACACTGAACGTACAAGCGCCATTTGCGCAAGTTGAAAAACCAGCTCATGTGCAAATGCCTGATTAAAATAGTGAGATAAATAATGATCCTCTGCTTATACCTAATCAGTCAGAAAATATGGAATAGAGAACTTATTGATTTGTCATTATTTCTTTATCAAAATTTTATCAGTCAAATTGACAGACCTCAAATTGTTACAAATTATGATAACACAGCCGGTTCACTTGTAATCACATCAAACAAAAACAGCAAAGTTAAATCTATTCAAAATATTGATTGAGTCATGGACTGATGCATTTATTAATTATATGAAGATATTTATTCAACGTTTTCCAAGGACTCAAACACATTTTCAAAGAGCAGCTAATTCAAATCAAGGATTTAGACCTCGAGGAAGCAGATTCCCTGCCCTCAGAATGGCTGCACCACAAAAATTTTACAATTAAATTTTATATTTTTCAGAATCTTTAATTAAATCGTTGGACGTATGGTGTCTTGGCTTTACTCCGATCAATGTTACAGAATTAAATAAACTCCTTTACAACTATCCAATGAACACGATGCAAAGATCTTCTATAAGGGATTTTTCTGAAGGTTTTAGGTTAAAATTTTTTGGGCCACGATGTAGGATTGAATCAAAAAATTTACGATCGGTCATCCAAAATCCTGAGGTCGCGTGGGAAAAAGTCATGAGTGAAGTAAAACATGGGCGCATAGCTGGTCCATTTTTGACCAGACCTATATCTAATTTAAGGTGTTCGTCTATAGGTGTAATTCCTATGAAAACTGGTGGATTTAGATTGATTATGCACTTATCTTTTCCGCAAAATTCTAGTGTAAACGACTTTATTGATGAAAAGTTCACTACCGAAAAGTATTCGTCTTTTGACAATGCTATAGATTGGGTTCAAATGTTGAAATTGGTAAAAAGGACATTAAGTCCGCCTTCAGATTACTCAAAATCTATTCAGGGGATTTTGATCTATTAGGGTTTAAACTTAATCAATATTATTTCATAGATAAATCATTCTCTTACATATACTCAGAATCAAATTGTTTATTTGAAAAATTTTCAACTTTTATTCAATGAGCTGTCATTAATGAGTCCAATTCAGATAACCTTGATCATTATTTGGATGATTTTTATTTGCCGGTAAAAGCAATGAGCTGTCATTAATGAGTCCAATTCAGATAATCTTGATTATTATTTGGATGATTTTTATTTGCCGGTAAAAGCAATACTCAGGATTGCAAAAATCTGATGAATAGACAGGATGTTGTCGTCTGAAGTCCCAATTGCTCATGAAAAAAAAACGGAAGGCCCAAAAACAAACCTTAATGATTAAGGCTTGCTTATAGATACAGAAAAAATGTTAATACAAATTCCGGACGACAAAGTATTGGAGTTAAAGTCGAAAATTAAACGGGTATTGGGTAACAAAAAGATAACTTTAAGGGACCTGCAATCTTTGTGTGGGTCATTAGCTTTTTGAGCAACAACTCTACCTGCAGGCAGAGCATTTAGCAGACAAATTTATTTGGCAAGTAGTCACGCAAAGAAACCACATCATTATGTCAGAACCACAGAAAGCATGTATCAGGACTTATTGCTATGGAAATTATTTTTAGACAAATTTAACGGCATAAGTTACATGCTTGACATTGATTGGACTTCAAATTCAGTATTACAATTATTTACTGACAACGCTGGTGGTTCAACAAAAGGATGTGGGTGTTATTTCCAAGGTATAAAGGCTTTTCTTAAATGGCCTGTTGAATGGTCTGGTACTGATGTTCTCGGGGATATATCATATTTAGAAATGATACCTTTTGCACTGTCTGTTTACTTATGGGGTAATTTATTTCATAAAAAGAAAATTTTATTTAATTCGGATAATAATGCCGTGGTTGAAATTTTAAATAAGAAGACATCAAAATCCTTGCGAATAATGAATCTTGTTAGACACATAGTATACTGGTCGTTATTAGGCAATTTTCACATAAAAGCACATTTCATTCCTGGTTATACAAATATAATTGCAGATGTATTTCTCATAAAAAATTTCAGAGATTCAAAAGATTGGCATTATCAGCAGATGCACATCCAGCTACCATTCCGGAGGAATTTTGGAACATTTTAGACCAGAAGTAGCAAAATTATTGGACGCATCGAACTCTCAGAATACATGGAAAACTTATAACAATGAATTGACCTCATTTGTTTCATTTAGATTAACAGAAGGGAATACATGGCCGCCCAGAATTTCGCATTTTGTAAATTATGTTGCTTGTTTATCGAAATTAGGGTATGCCCCTGCAACGGTTAAGGTATACTTAAAGCTATCATTTACGAATAAACGAGCTCACAGATTTGACTTCGTCGTTTATTATAAAAAACATGTTCAAAGCAATGGACAAATTATACGGTGTAGTAGATAGTCGCAAACCTATAACTATAGAAATATTAATGCGACTAATAAAATCTTTGCAATTTGTATGTTCTTCAGTATATGAATGTACATTATTTAGATCCATGTTTTCATTAGCATTCTTTGCATTTTTGAGAATCGATGAAATTACAATTAATAGAAATACGCAGCATGTCATTAACAGCGTTGATGTCAATGTTTCACATCATTCACAATCTGCATATATCACAATTCCTTTTTTCAAAAACAGATCAAAATGGTTTATCTACAACATTTACAGTTGAAAGTTTTAATCAAGCAGATATTTGCCCAGTGAGATTGTTATTAAACTTTATTTCAATCAGACACGAAAACAATGGACCACTTTTTTGTCATTTTAACAAAACCGGTGTAACACGTTATTAATTTTCTAAAGTACTGTGTAAGACCATGAAATTTATTGATTGTAATCCAAATGAGTACAACACGCTTTCATTTCGAATAGGTGCAGCAACACATTTTGCTATGAATGGTCATACTGATGAAGAAGTTATGACTTTAGGTCGTTGGAAATCTGCATCCTTTAAATGTTATATAAGAATTGAGCTAACAAAATAAATTGTATTTTCAGTAATGAAATATGGATTATTGGTTAATAATTTGCAGTGCTCGTGATCACTCGGAGAAAAGACCTTCAGGTAGTAATTTAGGTCTCTTAAAAAGTAACAATTGTTTTTTGCGCTGAGCAGGCAAGTCTAGTATGAAAGGGGACGATGTTGTTGGTACCGTTCACCGCGTAATCAATTTGTGCAACAAAATTCCACAAGCGTTAATATTGCATTGTGCTGGGAATGATATTGGAAATGTACCATGTGGTGCTCTGCTTTATCACATAATATTTACAATAGCAATTTTGTCTCGTATGCTCCCAAAATGCTCACTTATATGGTCAAGCATTCTTCCCCGGCGTTCATTACGTTACTCAAATGATGACCATGTCATGGAAGTTACAAGAAAAAGAATAAACAGGGGAGTGAGGTCCTATATGCTTAAACATGGAGGATACGTGATTAAATATTCAGATTTTGACGATCGTCATCCAGCGCTATATTCCGACGACGGAGTACATTTATCATTTATTGGAAGTGATATTTTTTTTGAATCAAATACAATCATCACTAGAAACATTCAAAAAGCATCCACATCGTTTTGTATTTCTTCATGATCACCTGTAATTTACCATAAACATAGTTCATGTTGACACTAGATGAAAATACATGGTATCTTGTGAAATTTGGTTGCTGTATAAATGTTAGATACACAATATCTTTAATTATTTTGATTGTTTAAATGTTGTTAAAAAATTGCTCATAGATTTTGAAATAATTGAATTGTCATGGGTAAATTTTGTGGCGGATTATCATTCTTTACTTATAGTCCAAATGATAATTTTGGCGAAATTTACTTCATTTTATGCAGACTATGGATAGCCTTGCTGCTAATTCTGAAATATTGCTGAATGGACCGCCCTTCAGTACACCAGCTTTGGATCGCCCAGCTGTGGTACAGTGATTAGTTTAATCGTGATCAAGATTTTATTGATTGACAAATAATTTGGTTGTGTACTGTTGTTGTTGTTGTTACAATGAATTTTGATTAAAATGTTGCCATGACAATTCAATATCCAAGCAAAATCGGTGTTTGTTATTTGTTGTAGTGAAAAACAAATCAAGTCATCAATGGCGTCTGTTCGTCAATTCTGATATTTGGGTAAATTACATCAAATGATTATTTTGATCAAATGATATATTCAATAAAAGCGTGTTATTTGTTAGGCTAAAAGCATGTGATTTGTCATGATAAAAGAGTGTTATTTGTTATAATAGACGAATGTTATTTGTTATTACAAAAAAGATGCACCGACGACAAATATTCAATACATTCAATACATATCTATTTATTTATGAAAATGTTCTATTTTGAATTATACATCTTAACTTCACATGTTTAAGTCATAAGTCTTTATGAAAATAAACTGACAATTTATCAAAATTTTCAGACTTGGTTGTTTGTTAATAAATGCAGTTTTTAAGTATGAAGAATATTTTAGGAAAGGAAGTTAATCATGGTATTAAGACCATGCATGTTTCCATTTTTCTTATCGATCAGTGTCAGAATTTATGAAAAAACCCAATATTTTTCATCAGAATTTATACAATGATACGAGAGACGACTCTTTGTTTTGAAAATGACACTTGTTACTATGCTTAGAAGTGTCAAAAACAAAATATCCAGCTTTTGCCTAATGAATTAATTCATTCTATTGCCCCAGAGTACCAGTAAAATGGACATTTTGATGACGACATTGGCAAAATTATTACTTTTTTGAATATTGAATTAAATCACAAAAATAATTGTATATATAATGTGTTCTATGTCTTTACACAACATACAACTTACCGATTAGAACAACGAAACACAGAATTGTAACTTTCATGTTGGCGGTTTGATATCAGACCAAGTTGTGATCAGTTTAAATAAGGAATATTTTGATAAGAATATAAATAAACTTTCTTGTAAATGACTTGACATCATTCTCACCAAAGTCGAAAACGTGAAACAAGTTCTGAAATAACGACAGATGTTCCTTATTTATCTCAATTATCATGCTCGGGTTATCAGGCGTATGGTGTTGATTTGGTCGTCAGTAAATAGAACACAACTTTTGTTGATCATTAGCATAGACGCGTCTAGTTTCAACCGGTATAGGACAATTATCTCGAAAATGGTTTAAACAAAGCATGTATTTCATCTAAAAGAAAGTGATTTAAAACTTTTTGTAAAAGAAAATTTTGCGTTATTACGGAAAATTGTAAACTTATAAACTATAGCCCATTTATATATCACAGTCAAGTATTGCATTCGGTTTGCGAGTGATCAGATGCCCACTCGCGAAAGTCAGTTTGTTATGGTGGGTGACATTGTTATATAAGATTAACAACCATAACGATTTTTTTTCTGTAAGAAGAAGAAAAGATTTTTAAAAAAAGAAGAAACTCAATTAGTAATAGCTTCCTCTCCACCCATGTAAAAATACTATCTTCTCTTTTTGAAAGTTTAAACTGGCACTGATATCAAATTGAGATGTCTCAAAATTAATTCTGCATGAAAACTCAGACTGAAACTACTTTTATTGATCTGAAATGACGCAGTACTATCCACTTATGTGTTTAAGTGCTAATAATTGCCAGATTTTCTTTCTTTTTTATGCCTTGCTTTCCCTTTTCCTTCGTTTCTGTTTCCTTTACACTCATCATTTGTGTTATAATTTTAATTAAACATGATCTGCTCAGGAATCTCGTTTGTGATTGTCTTTGTCTATATAATAATAGTGTAGTAACATTAACCATCAAATTTCATTTTAATGCACCCTCCTTCCACACTTCTGAATTATATATTCGAAAAAACTGTACTATTTTTTTTGTCCGGTCGTAAACATTCGTTTTTCTTTATTTATAGTGGTTTTCAATATTTTTGTGATTTTACTTTTTTTTTCAAGATAATAGACAAAATTAGCATTTTACTCCTATGTTCTATTTTTAGCCATGTTGGTTGGCAGCCTGGATCATCGGACATATTTTTTAAACTACATTTCCCGATAATGATGACGGCTAAGTTTGGTTAAATTTGGCCCAGTAGTTTCAGAGGAGAAACTTTTGTAAAAGTTAATGGACGATGACTGACGACTGACGGACGACAAGTAATGACATAAGCTCACTTGGCCTTTTGGGCATGTGAGCTGAAAATAAGACAACTTAAAAGTTCTCATGCAGGACTGTAATTGTAGTTTGGATTGCTGGCTATTAAGCTTATCTATCCTGAATAAAATACCTTCATTTACATTGTATTTTGCACTAAAATCTTCTAAACGATGATGGGGAATTGTTTATTGTTGAATGCCGTACGATGATGACCTGTGAAATTGTATACATTCTTGTTTGTAGTCTTTTGATGGATAGTTGTCTCGTGGGCAATCATACCAAATCTTCTTATATTGATATTATAGTTAATATTTAATGAAGACATGATTTGTGTGACGCTCTGTTTCTATCTCATTTACGTATAATTATACATATGATATTCTAAAATGCTCAAAAGATGATTCAACATTCATTCTACCTTACTAATCGTTTGTGTCAGCAATAAATCTTAAATTCACACACGAGAGTATTGATCTAATATAATACCCAATGCTGCTTTTCCATAGGTAATTGTTAAACATTTCCCTAAATTCCGTGTAATGCTGAATTCTAGGTGCAACGAAAAATAAGTAGTTTTGAAAACTTTAACTAGTAGCAAAAAAAAAGGTTTCAGACCATTATACTTGCAGAGAAAAGTATGGAGAAAATGTGGTGGGATTAAACCAGTTTTATGTGCACAAAACCTCATTTACATATCTAAAGCACATGCCGTTCAATTAATACACACATTATTTGAACAAGGAAATAAAAACACCACATATTTTGGAAAGGATTCTGGTCAAATTGCGCTTACAACAACAAAATGCTAAGGTAGTTACAGCTGTTGATTGGACAATGTCACTCCAAAAAAATGCTGAAACAACGCCCCTAACAGGTTTCATTTAGTCTCATCATAAAATGCAATTGGAATCGACAATATTTGTGAGATCCAATAAGTATTAAAATCGTCAGAGCATCGGAGGAAAGAACCATTTCACTAAATCAGTGAGTCTATAACGACTTTAGGTTGCAATTCTGTAAATATAGACAATGCAATTTCCCATAGGAACTCCCTTTGCGGCTAAAACTGTGACACTTTTACTATGAAGTTTCGTGAAAAATAATATCCTAGAACGGAAGTTTATATGCACTACTATTTTATTCAAAGGTCAAAATATAGGGCTGTGCGGCATATTTTCAACATTTATATGCCCGGAACTTCTAAGAGTTTAAACTTATACTAAAATTCTATACTACCCTTACCTCCATTTTTGGACCTCCTAAGAATTAAAATTTAGGCGCTACCATGTTTTTCTATACTGGTTACATTCCCAAGTGATGTCTCTATGAAATGAAACACAGAGATCATAAATGGGAACCAGTACGTTAACAAATTAACATATCTATGAATATTATATATCTCCCCAAAAGAGGCGTGGTTTGAGAAACAGCTGTATTTACAAAGTGCAACCTTTAGCCTTTGTTGTTGGAAACTTTAAGAAATATCCCGAGTTTAAATATTTATTTCAATTTATTAGATTTGAAAATCGGTAAACTACCGTTGCATTAGGTTTATTTTATTTGTTTTAAACAAAAATATTGCACACGCTGTTAACAATTACTCCACTGACACAGCTATCTCGGTGAAGGTCCCCGTTTCATTAGTACCAGCTTCAGGTAGATAAAGGTAGATTGCCTTAGTTAATTTACACCATAATCTTTTAAAACATAAAATAATAATATATCATTGATTTATCTGCAGATGAAATGTAATCCATTAACACTACCCTTGGCTGAAGCATAAGAAACATATGATTCCACTAATGTCGGCATTCACATGTACCATCAACACTAGGTCGTGCTCTTTTACACTGCAAATATTGTATATTTCAGTGGTTAAAGGAAATTAGGTAAGAAAAATATGCTTAGAAGGATAGTGGGTAACACAGGCGGTCAGTTCAAAACTATCAGACTTTTTATGTACAGTCCTTGGATGGTGTAAACTTCCCACTAACACCATACACCATTACACCATTCACCATACACCATTTCACCATACACCCTGTGCCATTACACCATACACGTTACACCTTTGCACCACACACCTTACACATTACACCATAATGCAATTTAATTTCAAAGAAAGCGCGCGACTACAAAATTATTTATTTATTTTAAAAAACTAATTTTTATAACAAAATTGTAAATTAATGTATAAAATTAAAAAACTGTTCTTATCAATATTTTGCATAGTTTTAAATGTCGTACACCATTCATTCACACCATTCCCGATCGCACGTTACAATATTACACCATTTCCCTTACACCATGCACCATAGCACCATACACGTTCTACCATTGCACCATATCCCATACACCATTACACCATACACGTTTTTTGGGGGACGTTTACACCATCCAAGGGCTGTAAACGTGATAATGACAATAGCAAAGAATGCATTACATATATATATTCTGTTGAAATAGCAAGTGATGACCAGGGAGTAACCAATTCTAAAACATGATTAACCAAAGGGTTACTGGGTTAAACCAATATGATCAACTGGACTTCTTCCGTCTACCAGCAAATTAAGCTAAGCGAGGTTTTATTTGGGTTTACGATATTTATTAATCCGCATTTACGTCCGATTAAAGTGGAGACGATAAATCCGAAGTCTCGTGTAAGAATACTATTTGAGAGGTATGCAGATTGTTCGTTTGAGTAGATCAAATGATTATCCTTATCATCATACAAGGGACTTCACTTGGTGGACATCAATGCTCATCAGCATTTTTTATGAGGAACAGCATATGGAAAGCTTAAATCAATATCGAACTGTAAATCATACAAATGAACATATAACATGGACGATATTTGAATAAATATGACATGTTTTCAATCATACCGTCTGTCAAAATATATTTTAAGTTTTTATTAAATTTCCTTTGAAGTCGATTTTGATCCAAAATTAGCAGAACAACCAATACTCCTAATGTTTTATATACCAAAGTTTAACAGACCATAGAAATCACGAACTTTTTGATCATACGATGTTTAACTGTTCATCGGGCGTACATGTCACAAGATTATTTCAAACAACATTTCCAGAGCGTTCTTCCATTAGATTGTTTATTACTTATTATGAAGGATTACCTAGAAAATTATAAAAACTTTTTTTTTAAATTTTTTATTTTATTTTTTATTCCCCTTCTGACTTATAACCAGAAACATCCTTACCACTCTAGCTTTTTACGACAGGAATTAATAGAAGGTTGTTAAATTTACCCTTCTTGTCTCCGAAATTAAATTGAACATTTGTAAGTAAACTTCTATAGCAGTATAGCAGTTAGATACAAACCAATTCACCTTGCGTGTTTGGGGAGGGGGGTTTAAGATAGATTGTTGATTCAAAATATATTGTAGTTTGTTTCCATTAAAAGTTAGGGGGAAATACATTCAAGATTGATGTTGTAAAATACCTGCCTGTTGTTGAAAACAAAATGTGTTTGATTTGATTAAAGTCTAAATAAATTTTCGTCCCAAAAAGAATAAACATGCACCCTCCCACTCAAATCCCCCCCCCCCCAAAAAAAAATTCAATTCCTATCACAGTTTGGGGTTAGTAAGGATATGTAAACTTTTCATTTGATAACTGAGCTATATTTTGAGTTTTTGACAAGTAAATTGACAAATAAATTGGTATGTGAATTAATTCATAATATTTTTGTAATCATTTTTTTATATACTGATGTTTCT